CCTGTGTCAAGGCCGAGCATTCAATCGCCACAGCCGATACAAATGGGGCCCACCATACCAACAATATTATCAATGCCTCTTTTGTTCTTGCCATCTTAATTTTTTTTTACATCCTCTTGAGTGATATCGTATATAAGAGAAAGTTATTGAAGTTTTACGGTTGGTAAGTCATATAGATGAGTTGTGTTTGAAATGTGGAGACTGTGAAGCAGCTTACATGAGATTTGGATGAAGAATGTGAATAATATGACTCACTTTGATCACACAAAGCAGGGTTAGAGAGTAAGCCACATACTACTGACTAAGGTATAACGTGAAAGGCAAGTTCCAGTGTGAATGATTTAATCTAACTTTGGTCACATAAAAACGGTTTTAGGAGAAGCCACCTGAGTTGATTTAAATCAAACATCGTAAGTTAAATTCAATTATCCGCTTATGCAAATTAGAAGTTAAAAGTAATTATAATTGTCATTTTGGAAAAAGTTGAACTTCTTTTGCCATTTAAGTTAATGTAAGTGGCTGGGATTTTCATCATTTGAGCAAACTTTATGTATTTAGCAATTTAATTGGGAAAAATTTATCCTGAGTATATCAAAAGAGATATTCTTTATTATTAGCAAAGCCTACTTTTTATACTTATATCAATCTTTTTATGGCAAAAAGGTACTTTTCAATCTTTTAATATTTTTACAGTTACTTTTGATCTTTTAATTTTATAAAAGGTTTTAATTTAGTTTCTTAACTTTATAAAGCATTTTATTAACATTGTTACTTTTTAATCCTAAATGATTATGTTGCAATCATGTTATTTTTTTAAAAATTTAAATTTAATATGTCAACATTTAAAAATATTTTCTCAATATTTAAAAATTAAATGTAGAAATTTTTTTGAATGAAATAACGGTATTAAAGTTAAAGGATTAAAAATATATTTTTTAACATCAAAAAACCAAATTAAAATATTATATAAAGTTAAAAGATTAAATGTATATTTTAATTATATTTTTATGTTAAGAGAGATTAACAAATGTGCTCATATAAGCAAGTTACCTCATAGGATTGAATGATTTTTGTTCCTAGGGAGAATTACATTTAAGGCTCCCAAAATGAAAAAAATTGCTCCTAAAGTCCAATACATTCTAAATTTTTTTTGTAGGCCCAAAAGTCCCAACAAATATGTTTCTTCATGAAAAGACACGATTGTTCCAAATGTACAAATTTTTCAATTGCATGTACTACACAATGTCTGTAAATGACATAACAAAGTCCATACATAAATAACACATTGTACATTTATTATATATGATTCATGTTGTTAAGTTAAATAATAATGTATAAGCTTCTCAAGTGTATATATAACACAATACTTGTAAAGAACATGACAGTGTCTGCACATAAACAATACAATATCCATTTATTATATATAATCATTGTTATTAAATTAAACAATAATATATAAGATTTTTAGGTATAATACAACATAATATTAGTAAATAACATGACAAGGTCCACATGTGAATAATATAGTATTCATTTATTATATAAAGTCTATGTTGTTAAGGACAAATGCATCTTTTCACGGATAAAAATGTTTGCATTTGAAACTTTTGAGCTTGTAAAAACAATTCAAATGTATTGAAGCTTAAGTGCAATTTTTTTTTTTTAAGAACCTTACATGAGATTCTTCCTTACTCCTATAATAACAATTCAAATGTATTGAAGCTTTAGGTCTTTTATTTAGATGTAACCTGTAACATCCCAATTTAAATTTTAATAGTTAATTTGGGTTAATAGAAATTTTGAAAAATATTTAGAGCTAAATAAATTAGTAGGAGATGATTATTAAATTTAACTTAGGATATAATTATAAATTAAAAATAAAAAAAAAAAAAAAAAATAAAAAAATAAAAAGAATAAAATATTATTAAATTATTATTATTATAAAAAAAAAAGAAACGAAGAAGAAGAAGAAAGTTTGGCTTCCTCTTTCGGCGTCCGTGCAATCATTATATATAATAATAATATAAAAAAAAGGGGGAGAGAGAGAAAAGAAGAAATAATTAAAAAAAAAGATGTGGGACCCACTGAATTTTTATAAAACTCACCTGTTTCCTTTCATTTCTTCATTCCTTCTTTCGTGCGTGAGCTGAGGCAGAGAGAGCATCTGTGAGCCAAGTTCACCGGTACTGGGTTTTAAGGTAAGAGTTTTTAATAGGATATTTAGGGTGTGATTTTAAGCTTTTCAAGACTAAGTAATTGTTCTAAAATTTTTTTCTTAGTTATCCTTCTTCTTTAGTTTCTGAGTTTGTAGTGTTAGAAAATTTAAGATCTGAAAGAGGGATGAATTTATGTTGAATAAATATGATTTTTGAGGTTGTCAATAGTATAATAAATGTTCTAGAGTATAAATTTATTGATGATCTTTGAATCTGTGGCTTATGGATCAAATTCTAAACTAGATCTGAAAATATATGTTGATTTATTGAGGTTTAGATGATTATTTGGGATGAGAAATGAATCATTATGGTTATAGGATTATGATTCTAAGCTAGAGACTTAATTTTTAATTTTTGGATATTTTAGGTATGAATTTATAAAATAAAAAGAAAATTTTGATAATAGAAATTAGTTTAAAATTTGATTTTTAGATTATTAATGTTTATTGATAATTAAAAGATGAGTTAAAAATTTTACTTAATAGTATTAAATATAGATTTGTATTAAGATTGAAATTAGGAATTATATTATATTTTTAATTCTATTATTAGAATTATTTTATTAGTTTCAAAAATTGAAACTAATATTTATAAATAATATGTTATTTTGTAGATTGTATTACTGGTGAAGATTGTGGTGAGAGAGAAATTTTAAGGAATAATTTATTGAAAAAGCCACAAGGTAACCATGCTTTTAATTTGTGATTAGTGTTACTTCATGTTAATTGGGTGATTATTGAGAAAATTATGAATTTTGTAATATTGTATAATTGTACAATATTATTATGAATTTGTTTAATTATTGTGGGAGGTGTTGGGAGACTTGCTATTATTGTTGTATTTATGTGCCACGTGGTACGCCCCTATTGGAGCTCAATAGGTGGTTTGTAAGGGCTCGGGCTAATCTACCTTTGGCCGGGTAATTTAGCACCGAGTGAGGGTTACGGCTCGAGGTTAATGGAGAGATATAAGGATGGTTGTTTGTGTTTATTATAATATTTCTTATATTTGTTGGAATTATATTATTTTTAATTCTCACTTAGTAAGCACACACTTAACTGTTTGTATACACTATCATAAATTGGCTTTGGTTACTGGGACTTTTGAGTCTCATTATGTGGTTAACAATTTTCAGGAGAAGAGCCACGAGTGACACGTGGAGGAGTCCCAGAGGCTTAGTGGTATAGATCCACTGTCTCTTTTGGGTATTTAATTTATGATTTATAATGTGTTATATTGCCAATATTAGAGCTTTTTGTTTATTGTCAATTATATGAATATATAAATGTAATCATGCCTTTCAAACTATTTCTATTTTTGGTACAATTTGGATGACTGTAATTTTAATATTTGGTTTATTTTGGATTGGTTAAAATGGCATGATTATAAGGCCAAATAACTGGCTTGTGTTGAAAATTGACTAAATTGCTTATTTTACTTGTTGGGAGTATAAGGATGGATAAATGTGATTTAGTTTACTTGTTGGGAGTATAAGGATGGACAAATGTGATTTAGCCTAATGGCATGTGGGAGGTAAAAATTTATCTGAAATGTTATAGTGTGTGAGTTGAAGCCAATTATAAAATATTTTATATCGAAATTATTGATATAAAAATGTGTTGGGTGGCTGTAACCCAACTATGGTTGAGTTAAATTATTTAAAAAAAAAATTTTGGTGTGTTACATAACCCTAACTTGATTTTTCTTTTTTCTTTTTTTTTTGGTTTGGAATGCATTCAATTTGTATTAAAAATAAATTTTAATATTTTTTTTTAATTTTTAATTTTGTGATCTTTTTATAATTTATTTTGTTTGAATTGAAATTTTTTTAATTTTGATTCGTTATATTTATTAATCTTTAAGGGGAAAATTCTTGAATTTTTTAAATGAAATTTTTTATTTTTATATTTTTATTAATAGATAATATAATTTTAAATTAATTACATATTTTCATATTTAAAATTTATATAATTAGCTTACGTCTTTTAAGTAATTTATATTCATATATAAATTTTTATAAAAAAATATAATAAAAATGTTAACATTATGTCAAATTAATTTTTTTCTGTTTGTCCAAAATTATTAAATTAATTTTTTTTATAAATTTCAAAAATGTCTTTGTTTTAGAAAAATAATCATTCATTAATAATTTTAATATTTTAACATATCTAACTAATCAAATTATAAGAGCTCAATTTAAACAAAATAAAGGATTAATGAGCAAATAGGACTCCCAACTATTGTTCAAAAATCACTCTAGACCCTAAACTTTTAAAACATGCAAAATAAACTTTAAAATTTTAAATTCATAACAAAATAAGCTATGATTATTAACTTTTTAATATTGTTACTGTCCACACAAGTATAACTCAGAATTTATTTTTCTATAAATTTAACCCTAACTGTTACAATACCAGCATGAATAGTAACGGTGTTAAAAAAATTAACGATCAGAGTTTTTAATGTTATGAATTTAAAAGTTTATGATTTATTTTATCTATTTTAAGAGTTTAGAATCTATGACAATTTTCAAGTAAGAGTTTAAAATTCTATTTGCTCATTAACTCCAAAATAAACTACAAAGACCCAATCAAAATTAAAAAAAAAACTATATTAAGTTTAATTTAATGGTTTAGAAGGAAAAATACTTGACTAGCTTTTATTAGAAAAAATAAAATTAAAAAAATATCAGCTCAATAAATATAAGAGACATAATTAAATTTGAGATAATAAAAAATGTTTAATAATAAGAGCATAATAAATATAACAAAATAATACAATATATACATCTAAGAAAAATCATATGATTTTGAGAGCGCCTAGTACAGACAAACAAGCTAGCATCAGAGACAGAAATGAGCCAGAGAAAGGATTCCATGTACAAATAAGAATTTATATGAAACCCAACGATATAAATCCAGAAAGACTGACAAAGCAATAATTTGATAATAAGGAAAAGAAGATAAACAACCCCACTTTCTAAAGCTACAACTTTACACAGAGGCAAAAGCAAGAATCCCTCATCAACATCACAAGAGAGAGCCTTCTCTTTGTTTAACTCTCATCACATTTCCATTTTGAAGTTGGAACACAGCTCAAGTACCGGCACCAATGGCAGTGATCATACCCATTCTCCTTCCTGAACAGCATCACCAATGCAATAATTAACCTGCCATTGTAAAAAACCGCATCTCAACTCAGTACTTTTCCACAACAATGATCACAGACATTAACACTACCAATGTGATAACGATGTGTGTCATGAGGGTTTTGATTGAGGCAAGGAACTCACCCAGTAATAAGGAGAATAAGAGAGAGAAACCAGAGAACATATTGGTATGCCTTGTATTTTGACTTGATTTGGACGTTGGCGGGAACATGCCGCTGCTCCAACCACCCGAATTGAGGGCGAGGCAGCAAGATAAAGCCAAGGAGGAACCCTGCCAGGAATCCGCCGATATGAGCAAAGTTGTCGACATGTGGCAAAATGCCAATGGCAAGGTTGATGACAACAATAACCAGAAGAGTAAGCAAAGCTGCCGCCTGCAATAGCAGAAAAGGGTTTTTCCCAAATTAAGGTTCACAGCCTCAAGTTATGATGAAACTAACTGATGGTGAAGAGGGAATCCGATTGTGATTCAGATTTCGCAATTAAAATAAAGGAACAGTTGGATATGTACACAGACCTTATTCGTATAAATAGTCCAGTTGGTAAGAAGCTCAGAAAGCATAGCTCCAAGAAGTCCAAAAAGAGCACCAGAAGCACCAACAGAGATGTTGTTTCTCAAAAATAAGGAAGACAGGACACTTCCAGCGAATCCAGACAACAGGTATATGACTCCGATCCTCACTGCCGAATTTTTCACAGCAGAAAAATATAAGGCCACATACATGCATCGAAGTTAATTTTGAAGAATAGAGTATCTATGATGTTGGTTATCCATTAAAAAACAGACTGGAAAGGGGATAACGTACGAAACCCGAATTGTTGTTCCAGGCGAATGCCGATGAACACAAGGCTCAACATGTTTGCAGCCAAATGAATAATTCCAGCATGTAACCAAATGCAAGTGACAAGTCTCCATCCCTGATGATGATTCACAACTTTATCCCATTTAAGGCCTCCCATGTTTGTTAATCTTTAAAATCCAGAAAAAAAAAATGTTTCAAATAAAAAATTTAGCTAAATAAAAGCTCTTCTAGCTGAAGAAAGTGTGCATCAAAATAACTGCAACTTCAACAATTATAAAACAAAGATCCCCACTCTTGCTCAGATTTCCTTTTTAGATAGAACATCAAAACCATATCAGCCAAATTCTACAGGTTAACTACCAAACAAGGCACACTTTCATGCCAATACATCAGCTTTAAAAAACCATTGATTTTTTGTTTGTTGTCCCTTTCATGTCTCATGTCCGGCCTCTCTAAAAGTTGATATACAAAGCAATATTGAAACATTCAGAGCCTATAATCATGCAATGCTAAAACTGCAATTTGAAGATGATATGTCGCACTTTGTATTTGTATATCATTTTGCTCAGTGGCTAAGTTTGTTCAAGTCCCTCAAAGACATATCACAACCCAGTAGAGAAGCATTTAGCCATTCAAGGAGCTTCCTACTTTCCTTTGTTTATTTCGTTTCCTAATAAAAAGTACCAATTAAACGAATCCTGTTTATTAGATTTTCTTACAGCAAAAGGAGTGGAAGAACGGTAAGGAGGATTTCAAAATTAATACCACCAATTAAACCTTAAAGCTATTTTTGCTGACCGCCAAGTACACAAGTGAAAATAAAAATCAGAGATTTTACAGGAAACTTGGACCTTGTGATTAACAAAATCAGGAATGAGATCAAAAAAGGAAACTGGGCTATCAATAGCCACAAGAAAATAAAATCCCAGTTTTGACCAAATTAATACAATAATTACGTAGGTATAGAAAAAGAAACAGATTCAGGAAGAGAGAATCAATCCAATTTCATATCGGACAACTAATAATTTCAATTATTATCATCAATGCTATCATATGGCCAGAAAATCAAATTAGGAAGATAGACCCAAATCAGAAATTCATATATAGTTAACCAGAAACAAAAATTCAAGACTGCAGCCAAGAAGTTAAGAATCGCTCCGAACAAGAAAATTTACTGAATCAGCGGCACGCCAATGACAAACGAAGCATGAAACGAAAGACAGAGAAATTAACAATGGGAAATTAAATCTTACGTGTTAGAAGAAGGGCCAAACAGGGGATTCTCCTGCAAAGGCTGGAAGGATAGCCTTCCCAGAAACCTAGCGACACACTCGGGCTGATCATCAAAAACCCGATGTTTGGGACAATTATTGATATACATGGTAACAATGAAAACGGCAACATTGGCAACAACAAACATAGGAACCAGCCATGATGTCCAATGGGTTTCGGGGTCATAAACATAGGAAGAAGCAGAATATGTGGTGTTGTCTGCTCTGTTCTTGGTCCCGCCTCCTCGCTCCAGATCTCGATCGGCCATGAGTGTATCTCCAACAAGGAATCGAGAGAGGATTGTGGAAGAGAAGGGTTGGCGAAGGGCTTAAATGGAGCGAAGAAGGAAGAAGCAGTGGGGCGTGCTGCTTCGTTGTAATGGCGATGTGGGCGATGAATTTCAGGATTTATAACTGCGCAGTAATCAAAAGGTCAATAAATGATACAATGATGATACCGACTTCAAAACTGATTCTCTGCTGTTCCACGTCTTGACAGTAAAGCGCTAGCTATCATCTAGTCTAATCTGGTAATCTTAGAAGTTTAGAACTTAATTTTATACTCATTTCGACACAAATTATAAAATAATTTATAATAAAATTACACCTATCAATAAAATATAATAACAATATTTCGTAAACTTATTCTTTTAAAATAAAATTATAACTTTTTAAAACATCTCTATACCTTTGATCATTATAATATAATATTTTTTTTAAATTTTTTTTCATAAAAAATAATAAAAAAAAATTTATTAATAAAATAATATTTTTTAAAGTTGTCTTATATTCTAAAATAAAAAATTTCTTTAAATTTGTCTTAGATTCCCTCCCATTCAAAATATAAATATTTTGAAATAATTTGTATGCTAATAAAGTCATCATTTTCGTAAAACTATATATGATTTTTCTCTTTTACCTCTAGTCTCAATTATTAATATACTTCATGGTAAATAAAAGATAAATTTATACAAAGATAAAGGTTAATAAATATAAGGGTTAAAATGATAAAAAAAATTATATAAAATAGATTAATTATATTTTGAATCAAAATTAGTTGAAAAAAATATTTATATTTTAAACTGGATGGAGTTATTTGGAATGAAAGGAGTATTATTATTTATTTTGTCATAAACTTTTATACTACTAAAAGTACTAAAAATAATCCTTTTTATTTTTATTAAGGGTAGATGTGAAAACTTATTAAACTTTAAGAAATGATTAATAAGGTTTAAATTTTTTCTTCATTTTGATAAAATATACTAAAAATAACTTATAAATAGGATAAAAAATGTAATTATTAACATTATGATATAATTTGTTAAATTTTTCATATCATTCAATGTTATAAGAAGTTTTAACCAAATTTTGTATTAATGAATTAGTTAATTGTTCTTAAAATTATACACTATTTCCATTGTTACATTATATTTAATAAAGTTCCTCAATTAAAAAATATTATTAATTACACTCATAATTAAAGGTATTTTTTAAAAAACAATATTAATTTTTAAATATGATACTTCAAAAAAATATATCTTATAATATTAAAGGGAAGAGTATTTGCTAACGCAACTTAATTAACGAAATTATAAGAGAATAGGGGATAGTTTAATTTTTTTCCCAACCTGTTTATATTTACAATTACATATTCTTATAACCTTATTTTTCTCAACCAGTTTAAAATTTTTTTTTCCCATAAAGAAACAATAAACTATGGGCCACGTCTTAAAAAATGCGTGGTTAGATGTTTGACTGCCACGTGGCGGGTAATGAGTGGGTACGATAAATAGAGAGAGCGGGTGAGAGGAAAAGGGGATAGTGGCCAGCAAACGCGGTATTTCGCTTTCAAGGTACGGGAAGGTTCCGTTGAGGTTCGGGGACACAATATCTCACGCGCGCCCCCGGAGCTTTGGAAATAGGCCACGTGGGTCGTCCAGTCCTGCTTTCTTCGAACCGGTTTGAACCGGTAAATTCTGAGGACGTTCATCCTTTCATTGTCAGTCTCGGTCTCGGTCCGTGTCCGTTAGGTACCTCGCGTCTCGAATCTAATCTTCGTTCCGCTTTCGGTAGGAAGTTCAAGGAAATTTTAATCATCTGTATTTTATGAAAAGTGACTTATAAAAAGTATTATCAATTTTTTTATAAAATGATTTATATATGGGATTAATTAGGGGACGCTTGTTGAAGCTTTTTATGAAAAATTATTTTTTGAAAAATTATATTTTGTAAAATTTTATGATGTTTGTTTAAATTTTTTAAAATAATATGTATTGAAAAAAATATATTTATGATTATTTTAATAAATTACATTTAATAGAATCTAAAAATAATATCATGCAGGGATAATACTATAACAATGCGAACATACACATAAAAATATTAAAATTATAAATTATTGTTTGTAAATTAAGATCCATGAAGATATGATATAATATAAAATAAGTAAATAATAATAAATTGTTATTATTTTAACCAAACATAAATCATATCTATTTTTATAAAATAACTATGAAATATTTATAAAATTTTTAAATTTTCTAAAATTCACATTTTTTCTAAATCTTAAACAAACAATTCTCTAAATTTTATATTTAGCTAGCCCTAGATAAAACATTATTTTAAAAGAAACACGATTCTTTGAACCTACTTTCTTTAATTAATTTATTTCACTTTAATGATTCTATAATATTTAAATGGCAATATAAAGTATTGAGAAACGAAGAAAAACACAGGAGAACAGAAATGTGAACATGAAAAAGTTGGCCCCATAACAATGAAAGAACTTATAAGAGAATCACAAGTAACTCGCCAGCTTTCCTAAAACTATCAAGTCTCATGAGTGATTTCAACGCGTCTATCGACTGACCTTTTATTTTATTCCACTTAGAGTTCTAATTCTAATTCTACTATTCTAATAACATGGCATATATGATAATGGCAATTTTATTTGAAAATTTGCAAAATTGTTGAATTTATAATAAATTTAATCAGAACAAAATAAAATCTCAAATCAAAGAAATGGAAAAAGAAAAAGTTTTTTCATTTGCTTAAGGTACTACCAAATATTTAATGTGTAATTTTTATTTTTCAATGTTCAACCACAAAGACAAACCTAAGAGTTGTATTATATGCGCGTGTAAGAGAGAAAAACTTACATACTAATCTTACATGTTTAAAGTATTTATTTTCAATTAAATCATGCCAGGTATATTTTATAGATTATTTATTTTAAAACAAACTTTAATTATTAATATTGTTAATATATTAAATTCAATTATTTTGATTTGATTGGCTAAAAGTATATTAAATATAAAGCTCAAAGAGATTCAAATACCTAACTTATCTAATCTTTTGGTTATAAAAAATATTAGAATATTATAGTTACGTAAATTCATATAAACTCTTACAAAGGCAATCTCATCATATTTCTAGTAACCTATATACAACAACTTTTAACGAACTAATACACACAAATTATATATATAGGGCATGACTTAGGAGAAAAAATTCCGAAAGTTTTTCCAAATGAGTTATAAATATTCTTATCTTTTAGAAAAAGTAATATTGTTATGGAAGCTTTAAAAATAGTGCAAATCCCAACATTAACGTACACTTTGGCCAACCACTCTTACATGTGTCATTTAATAAATGTATATTTTAAATTAAATAGGTATAGATTTTAGTTTGAATTTAATTACATTTATTAAGATTTTATATCTATTTAATTTAAATTTATAGATTCCCCCATCACTTATTTATAAGATAAAAAAAAATTTAATACAAAATCTACTCATATTTTTCTTTTTTATATCTTGCAAGAAAATAATAGATTAAACAAAGGAAGAAAATGCAAAAAAGAAAAGAAAATAATATATATATATATATATATTGAAGGAGCAAATTTTCGTATATCATGTCATGAGACAAATAATATCTATCTATATATATATATATATTAGAGTTTCATATCGACTAGGAATGGAAGGAGAAACTTTCACTTTGACTATAGATACTCCCTTCATTAAGAAGGAAGTTATTCAATCACTCATCTAAGTATCTCAAGAATTCTCTTTAGTAGATTTGAAGCACGTAGAAATATTTTAAAGGCTGAAAGTAAGATTGTTGAGGAGTTCTATGAAGGTACTAAAAATCGAGCTGGCCATTGAATCAGCCAAGGTCAATAGTCAGGGGTTCAACCGAAGGTCAACCTGGATTTAAATCAGACATAATAAAATAATATAATTTAAACAAAAACAAAATCTCCAAGACTTAATATCTCATATAATGCCATATACAAGTCTAACACAATCATCAAAACATCACTAAAAACACAACATTTAAAATATTCATCTTTACAAGTCCAACACAATTCAAAAGTTTAATTTGTCAATAGATTCATAATTAATAGGATAAAAACTTGTCTTTTTCTTCAATTGGCTCCTTTAATGAGATTAAAGAAATAAAATGTAAATATATAACTACCATAAAATAGTAATAAAATTCTTATTTGTTAAAAACATTCATAACTTTCATTTTTACCTATGCTTCAAACATAGATTGTAGTTTGTAAAAACTAAATCATTTAGCCTTTGATGTTCCAGTCTATTTCTTCTTTTGGTATGGATGCGTTCAAACAAGCTCCAATTTCTATCACAACCAAAAGAAGAGGAAATTTGGCTAAGAATACGCATTGTAAGATTTTGCAATTCTGGAATAAAAATTTCATAAAACGACCACCATTCATTTGCAAATAAAGAATAATTAGTTATATGTTATGTGATAAATAAAATTACAATGACTATGTTAAATATTAACACTTACAAGGGTCTAGTTTCTATGCTACTTTATGACATGAAGCTTTATCAAAAGATTCTCTATAATCACCATACAAGCCCAACTACTTCATCATCATAATATAATCAACATATTCATTTTCAATTGACTCAAACACTGAAAGCATTGCATCCATTAACCTTCTCTTGTGAACAAAGTCATCATCATACAAGAAGGCAGGGTTCAACAAATATGTTGCTACATGAAGATTGGTCTTCAAGTGCTTATCCCATCAAGCTTGAATAATATCTATATAAAGCTTGTATTGATCTTTCTTATTGTTAAAGACTGCCTTAATTACTTTTTTTTCCCTGTGCATGCCTTCATAAACATAAGGCAAAGAAGGCTTCTCATCTAAATTAATAATTCTCAACAACTTTATAAGAGAAAAACACAATCTTCACAACTTTAAGAAATTCATTCCAAGACTGATTATCTAATATGATGGCACCAACAATTATTTTGACTTCAGTCCTGATAATTTGTGATCCACAAAATGCTTATCAATAATTAAAGCTTACAAGTTATGCTTGTGCATATGTATACTATGCAATTTAATAAATATTGTAGCAAACCTTGTCGCACCTGGATACACAATTTCTTTCCAACCCTTTCTTTTCTTGAACCATGACAAGACTATATGAT